TCACACTTTACACCTTACACTTTGCATTTCACATTTCTCAATTCATATTTCAGACACTTACTATTTTGGGCTTTACACTTCACATTTCAAGTTTCACATTTTATACTTAGATGCTGTGTAATACTAAATTTAAACTCATTGCCATACATTAGTGTGATCAAATTTCTGTCTCAAGCCAGAAACTTGTACTTTCAGCTTCTGAAGTGCATGACTTTTATTGTTATTTCAGAACAAATAGGAGTTGACATTATGAATAATTTACACAGAGACAGAGAAGTCATAGAGCGAGCAAGAGAAAGAGTAAGTCCTCTAGGATTAATTTTAACTGGAATCAGAATGTCAGAAAATATTAGTCTGATTCAAAGTTGAGTTAAATTGCTATCAGTATTCATTTTTTCATTGTCCTTGCAGACAAGGGGAACCGACAAGAACCTGTCAAAAAGCTCAAGGATTTTAACAGGAATGATGAGAAGGTACACATATGCATATTACTTCATGCTTATCCTTTGTCTCTCTGAAGTAGGTAAATTCTGCACATGAGCCAAGTGGCCCATCAGGCTGGAGCTTATCCTGGTTTCTGTAGCATGAAGTGACTAGGAATGTTTCTACTCTCCCTGGATGAGATGCTAGTCCATTGCAAGGTTACCTCCAGCATTAAATTTGCTGCTACCCATTTGTACACCTGAGAGGCACTGTGAGAGTTAAGTGTCTTGCCCAAGAACACAACACAATGTACCCTGGCCAGAGCTCAAACTCGGACTGCTCGATCTGGAGTTGAGCCACCGTGCCCCACTATCTCTGTGGTACTCTTCTGTTAATTCTGCTGACATTGTTGGGTTTAGACATTTTGAAAGCTTTAGCACACACTTGGGATGTTTTTTTTTTCAGATGGGCAAATTTGTTTTTTACTTGAACTGCTCATTATTTACCATATGTAATAATATTTTTATTTGACATATTTTCAGGATAATCCAGAACAGGATAATAATGGCTGTCATTTGCCTTGCGATACTGGGAGTTATTGGACTTATCATATACTATGCTGTCAAATAATGTCAGTCAGTCATATTCACCTGTTATAATCACATCTTTGCCAATTAATTTGATGTATAGTAAATTGACTGAGTTTGGTCACAAACAACAACTGATATTGCAAGAATGAAGAAACCAAGTTGATTCCATTACATTCTACTCTAACTATGTTATTATGACGGGTTGCTCCAGAAATATCCTGGCAGGGCCTTTTCTTGGAGGGTTAAACCAGGGTTGTAGCTAAGATAATAGTCTCCCGGCTAAGATTTTCATTGAGCCAGTCACCGTTTTTCATGAGAGACCTGAAACAAAATTTTTGTCCCCAATCTTTTGCAACATCTTGAATGTGGGGCTACCAAGCTTTGTGTTTACAAGATGGCAGAGGCAGTACACAGAAAGAGAACATGCTAAACAAGCGCTCAAAACAAGATTTTATTTCAATTGCTTTACCCATCGTAGTGGCACAGATACTCAAGGTAGTCAGGAATTCATTCAACACTTTTCATTTAGACGCTTCAATATGGTTCAGATATCCAATGATTGTACGTATGTAACCTAAAAACCATTTGTTGTCCTGTACCGAGTGATCGCCCACCAAAATCTAGCTGGCAATCACCTCTTTCTCAGCCGGCGAATTTCGCTGGCAGCCAGCGCTTAGCTATGACCCTGGTTAAACTCCCATCCTACCCCTGTCAAAATACTTTAGGAAATATCCACACCCCTCTCAGGGAATCTTTGGAGTGTTAAAACTCCCATTGCACCCCTCTCAAGATTCCCATTACCCATCTCTTCCTTGGAGATTCCAATAACCATTTTGGAGCGGGTATGGATATTTCCTTGAAATGTGCAATTCAGTAGATATTTCCTATAGCTCAGTTGCCCTAAACATGTGATAAGCCAAAGATGGGAGTTATGTTTTACCAAAATTCACATCTTGTGCATAAATTGTTCAATTGAATAGAACTTAATGTTTTGAACAAACTAGCATAATATTAACAGAATTATCATTAATTACTATATTACACAGCTTTGGCGAGATCTCACAAACAGGAAGGCATGAAAATATTGATAGAAAATAATTCCACTTGTCTCCCCACTAGTTGTCAGAAAATTTCTGACAGGTAACATACAAGGGCAAACATCTGTGTATATTTAATATACACAGATGTTTGTCCTGGTATGTCACCTGTTTCCTACAATTCACAAGTTTGAGAGTGACTTCATAGAACAGATAATGTTCATGAACAAAACCTGAGGGTATTTCCCGGCTTTTTGCAATAATATGCATAAGTTCAAGCAATCTTTAATATCTGCACTATTTGGTGTCAAAATTATTTTAAATATCGTGTAACTTTGATCTGAGAATTATGCCAAGTCTACATATCAATTATTCCATGATCGTGTGTTGGATATGAGATGATAGATAGCCAATGAGGTGCATAGCACTGAGTTAGCTGTAATCATCTCATATCCAACAAGCGCAAGTGGAATAATTGTTTTATTAAAAACGCCTCCAAATTACAGAAAACTAGACTAAAATAACGCTAAAAACGGCAGAAAAATTGCACGTAGGCTTACTATGTTTGCAGAGCATGGTGTAATGGCTCATAACCCATGATGGCTAAGCCAATGAAAACTCTCAAATTACATTATCTAATGATCCGGTTTTTAACAAATATTATTATCCAACTCCAGTCAGTCAGGTTCAAATAATGAAATTTATTTAGTGGAATTATATATTAGATTTATATGTAGGATAAGCAAGTTATTTATGCTTGCTTTGGTCTTGATTCCCTGAAAGTTTTGTTGTTTCACTGGCTAACTTAGGCTTAGTTACCATTACCCTCCTACGCAGAACTCCTTCATGACTTCACAGGAGGCTAGGTTACTAAGTGCTGTTCATTCTTGTCACCAGAGGCTGCCATCTTTTTTGGTCAGCATCAAAAATCGCGACCTCTGGGTGCTGGGTGGGTCTAACAATCTTGTTCCAGAAGCTCCAACAAGGAACCATCCACACCACGCCGGAGGAATTTGAAAACGCTTTATTTCTACTGTTAGGCCTACCGTCCACACTAGTCCATCAGGAAAACGGACCTTTTCGAAAACGCTCTTTAAACCGGAAGGATTTGAAAAAACGCCCGCTTTGCGTTTTAGTGTGGACGGTAAACATTCTGAAAAAAGAAGCTTTTGGAAGACGATCGCGCGGGATAATCACGTGATTTCCCTGCCCGAGTGTTCCTCGAATACAAATCAACATTTTTTGAGGTTGTTGCGTTTTCAAATTGCTCCGGCGTAGTGTAGTCGGAAAACAATTCTTGCGTTTTCAGAGTGAAAACGCCATTTTAAATTTCTCCGGCGTAGTGTGGACGGGGGGAGCCAGCATCAGTCACAGCAGTTACTCTCTCCACACATAATCTGAAACCGTTATTCTACTTGATCGCCTGCGCACAATCAAACGGGAAACAGGATTTTCTGGTTTCGGATTTTGATTACCTCCAGAGCCGTTGAGTGTTTTCGGTCACCGAAAACGCGCGGGTTCTGGTGACGAGATTAGGTCAGAGGTTGTGATTCTTGAACATGACGTAGCGATTCTTGTTGCTGACCCAAAGGATCGCGGTCTCTGGGGATGAGAGCGTGTGCCGTTCAGAAAATTGAGCGTGCGCACAGTCATCTTGAGAAGAAACGACTGAAGTTTGGTCTCAAGAGAACAGCGGGAATTGAGCCTTTGATTAACTCACTGATAGACAAAACCTGCATCAGATTTGTAAATTTGTTTCACTGTAGAGACTTTGTCAGACCAAAAGTAAAAATCGATTTCAGAGTATCGCTGACCTTGTTATATAGCAGACTAGAGACATAAATATGCTCTGATTAAAGAATTCAGGTATCATATCCTGACTAGTGACACGTACATACCAGTATATAGTGGAACCTCCCGTAAGCGACCACCCAAAATGTCAAGCCTAGGTGGTCGCTCACGAGCACTTAGACCATATTGGGTCAAAATTTGGTCTCATTGGCATATGGTAACTGCAGAGAGGTTACCCCATGTTTTAAGTGTTTTATTCTTGGGGAAAGTCAATTTCGAGAAAAATCCGCTACTTCCCATTGAGCAATTTCCGTCTCTTGTACTACCCAGGACCGTTTGACCTCGCGTATGATAATTCATGGTAGTTAGCGGAAAATCAACTATCACGAACCACGGCGTTAATTTTGTGGCTAAATTGAGGTTTACATGTACAGGGGCTGGGAGCGGTGGGGATGAGTCACTGTTATAAATAATCGCTAGGTTTTTTATCGCGCGAGGGCGTAACTGACGATCCGATATTAAACGTGCACGTCTGTCTGTTACGCAGGTTAAATGTTGACACTTCAGAACTGGTTTGCCAGTTTATTTATTTTGTATGTATTTATTCAACGAATTGAAATGAATATGGCATGGCTTGTAACCCCAAGAACGAAAAGAAATAGATTGGGAACGTTTTGTAAAGTCAGGTTTTCATTCTCAAGTGAAACTCAAATATAACTACTTGATTTTTTTTTTTTTTGGTTTTCCCACTAAAAGTCAAAATCAATCTCGGTTTGTTTCTTTTTCAGCTCCGTGAATTAAGGGTACCATATACCTTTGGAGGTGTCTCACGTCCAAGCGATGTAGCGCGTCTGGTTTAAACTGTAGATACCTAAAACCTCCATGTCGAATTAAAGCTTAAAGAGCTGACTTTTACACTATACCAAGAATTTTGAAATAAAAAGAATTTTCGCATTTTTTGCGACCTCTAAATGCGAGCGTCCGAATCACCTTTTGAAAGCTGAAAGTCAAAGCGAATTTTAGAAGAGGTAAAAAACGTTTTCTGGTAAAATTGTATAAAATTGTGAGCTTTCAACAGCTAGTCTGCTGTCTTCGACGGACACAAATGAAATGTTGTTTTCCGCATTTTTTACTGAATTTGTCCTTCAGTTTCCGGACCCAAAGCGTTAAAAACTCGTGTTTGCGATTTTCTATGCTCAATTTCAGTGAAAAGTTACAGAACATTTTCGAAATAGGGTTAACAAAATATGGAGTGACTGTACAAAAATTGCTCTCGGAGAAAAAATATTTGGAAATCAAAAATTCGTAGACAGGGTTTTACTGTACCTGTCAAACTAGCTACTGTCCAAATTTGAGGGCAAACGAACAAAATCCCTTTGACTCGTAGCTTTCATAAGGGACCCATATGATGATTGGGACATTCGCATTTAAAGGTCGTGAAAAATTCGACAATTCATTTTATTTCAAAATTCTTGGTATAGGGTGATAGCCAGCTCTGTAAGCTTAATTTGATACAGGGGTTTAGGTATCTACAGTTTAAACCGGACGCGCTACATCCCTTGGACGCGAGACACCTCTAAAGGTGCTGTAATGGTATATGCGGTAACTTTAATATTTACAGGGTTATTTGTTTTTGAACATAAATTTTACATGAAAGGAATGACTTCAAAATAAAGTCTGATTACTAAGTCCCGTGAAATACGTCTGTTATAGTCTTTCACCCACGCCATATTCGTCTAGAATCAAACCATTTTGTTTTAATTCAATGAAAATCTATACTGAATATTTAGATTCCCGCTCCCCGATTAATTTCAGATCATAAACAAATTTTATTCGTGATTTCAAATCCGAAAATTTATCCCCAACTTTAGCATCCTAAAATCCTCACAAGATTTGTTAAAGTGCGTGGATTCTTCCTCTCTAAGCTAGGAACAAAGCTATAAAACGCTTGAAGATTCGCAACGAATTTTGTGCACAGGATTCATTCGTGCGAGCTGAATGGCCTGGCCAACCGGAGTCTCAAAACGATTCTGCTTGGCCACGCTTTAAAGTTTTGTCAAAAAGGAATTCATCAGCGAAAGTATGGCCTCTTTTTAACTTATCAGGAAGAAAACCAAATTTAATGAGAATGATCACGAATGATGCCTTACGAGTTGTCACCCCATGTTCTAAAATCAAGTACAGTTGAACCTCCCGTAAGCGACCACCTAAAATGTTAAGCCTAGGTGGTCGCTTACGACAGCTGAGACCATATTGGGTCAAAATTTTGCCTCAATAGTATATGGTAACTGCAGAGACTCACCCCATGTTTTAAATGTTTTATTCCGGCGAAAAGTCAATTTCGAGAAAAAAATCCGATACTTCCCATCGAGAAATTTCCGTCTCTTGTACTATCCAGAAATGCGATAATACTACCACACCTTATAATCCAATTTCCGCTCTATTATCTGTTAAGTGGTCGCTTGCGGGAGGTTAAAAACAAAAGAAAATGTCAAACGGCTTTCAGCTCCGAAAGTGGTCGCGGTCGCTTTATACGAGAGGTGGTCGCTTACAAGAGTTTCCAAATATAGTGATTTGACTTGGAAAATCTTGGTATTTTAGAAAACTGGTCACTGAGGAGAGGTGGTCAATTACGAGAGGTGGTCGCAACCAGAGGTTTGACTGTATTAGAGCACCGTACTACGCCCAAAATTAAAGTGGACTAGAGAACTCCTAAATATGCTCGCCTGCAACTATTATGCTGGTAACTATGCCTACGTAAAATTCTTTTCCTAGCCCTCTTGCTACCGCGAAATAAACATAATGGTAATTCAAAAGTGCAAAAAAAGAAAAAAAAAAATTGAAAAAAAACCCGATACTACAATCAAACTGAGAATGACCTTGAGAACAAGTCACATGTGTTTTACAACAAACACAAAACAAAAACCTGTATAGAACTACAAGATGGCTTGCGATTTTACAAGTGTTTCAAAATAAATGGACAGCTAAAATAGTTCTAATTATAAGAACTAATTGTTTTATGGCAAAATGGTACTGTTGTGCTGGCAAGATTCTCGATGCTCCACCTACACCGTTACTTTATGCTNATAGAACTATAAGATGGCTTGTGATTTTACAAGTTTTTCAAAATAAATGGACAGCTAAAATAGTTCTAATAATAAGAACTAATTGTTTTATGGCAAAATGGTACTGTTATGCTGGCAAGATTCTCGATGCTCCACCTACACCGTTACTTTATGCTTGCAATATTTCGCCCGTATAACGTGCCAATCGCTATCTTCGTGGTTGTAGTTCGCTTCTGATTTACCATAATCTTCCCGAAAGTAACGACCCTCCGAAAGTAGCGGAGAGTTTAACGGCAGACGACGAACGGCAAAGATTACCTCTGAATTTTCATTCTTTTCTTTTAATCCTTAAATAAATCACACAAAATAGAAACATGTCTCCTACTATTCACCGCAAAATACAAATATTTTCGCTTTACTGTACAGGCAGCTGAGAACAGACGGCAAAAGTTTCATTTTTGCCGTTGCTGTTTGACTTAACGTCATGCTTAATCTCTTCAGTGACTCCACGAAAGTAACGTCAAAAAATTATGGCCCTTAAAAAAATCCCGAAAGTAGCGAGCCCACCCCTAACACCCCCTTCCCCCCTCCCCTAAAATAGTGAGACCCAGATTCGATATAGTATATTCATATGTTTTTCCAATCAGTAGTCAGGTGAAAGTTATGACAGCCACTTCTTTGCATTTTCGAGGTGTCTGTGAAGCGGATTTAGATGAAGCCTTGAACGACAAGTAGATTTATCTAAGACAATTGATTTTTCGCTCTCGATTTCTATGCGTGATAGAAATCTCGAGCTCCTAATCTAATTGCTTAATGTAACCGTGACGTAGAGTGCTTTCATATAACGACCCCCCGAAAATAACGAGCAACGACCCCTCGAAAATAACGATCCCTCGAAAGTAACGACTCTTCGTGTGAAAGTAACGACCCCTCGAAAATAACGAGCGACCCTCCGAAATTAACGATCCCTCGAAAGTAACGAGCAACGACCCCCCGAAAGTAACGACCCCTTGAAAGTAATCATCTGTAATTAGCTCATTGGGTGTTTTCACATCTCGGGATTATTTTGATTTAAAGCATTTAAGTCTGCGTGTTCTCATAACAGTGCATTTACCCTCAAAATAAATGCCGTTAATTAAGATAAATTATGTGGTTTTATACTTCTGGGGGGTCAAATTTTCCTTGGCTCTTGTACTAATTGAGAAGTACTTGAGGATGGCAATTCAGATTGTTCCAGTCCATTCATTACCTTTAAGTTAGGGAAACCGCAATAACTGTTGGGTGTAAACTGCTGC